CAAACAGAAAGGAGAATCTGACCGTTAGTTGAACCTGGACCAGACCTTTTTCCTCTCAATGATCAATCTCACTGTTCACAATGGAGCAGTTCGCAGTCACGTGTGAAGTGGCGGGAATAAGAATCAGAACCTCCAAGTCAGAGGCCATGATCCTTGACCAGAAAAGGATGGAGAGCTCACTACTGGTCCGGGACAAGTTTAAGTGGAGTAGTTTAAGTATCTTGGGGTCTTGTTTGCAAATGAGGAGAGAGGGGAGCGGGAGATCAACAGATGGATTTGTGCTGCACCGATGCGGACACTGTACCAATCCATCATGGTGAGGAGAGAGCTGAGTGTAAAAGCAAAGCTCTTGATTTACCGGTTGAGCTACATGCCCATCCTCAGCTATGGTCACAAGCTTTGGGTAGTGACCGAAAGAATGAGATCTCGGATACAAGCGGCTGTTTACAGGGTGTTTCAGGCATGAGAGGAGGCTCCAGGGCAGAACCAGGATATGCTGGAAGAATTATATCTTTCGGCTGGCCTGGGAATACCTTTGTGTTTCCCTGGACAAGCTGGAGGAGGTGGCCACGGAGGAGCTCTGGGCGCCTCTGCTTAAGCTGCTGCCCTTGCAACCCGGCTCCTCTTGAAAGATGTTAACTCTGTATGAATTTGAATTTAAACACTGGGACCAGGATAACAAAAGGTTGAACATAAGTGGTGCTGGTACTGAAGTAAGTGGTACTGACAAGAAACAACCGAAGGAGCATTTTCAACTAATTAGGTTAACTGACAGCAGGTCAGTATAAAAAATCAGCATCTCAGAAAGGCAGAGTTTTCAGAAGTAAAGATGGGCAGCGGTTCATCAATCTGCAAAAAACTGAGGCTACAAATTGTGGAACAATTTCAGAATAACGTTTCTCAGTGTAAAATATGGAAGACTTTTAATATTTCATCATCATCTGCAGTGCACAGGGAATCAGGAGAAATCTCTGTTTGTAAGAGAAAAAGCTGAAAATCAGCATTGTATGCTGGTGACCTTCAGGCCCTCAGGTAGCACTGCATTAAAAACAGGCATGATTCAGCCATGGAATCACTGCATGGGCCCAGGAACATTTCCAGAAATCATTAAAACACTCTCTTTAGAGAGAGCAGTTGTCAACTGTCATGCCAACGTTCAGCATGCCTTCCTTAGAAACATACTTCATCAATACTTTCTTTTTCATAAAATTAATTGTAATTAATTAGCATTGCCAGTGACCCTCAAAGCACTGTGATATAAATGACACACTAGAAACAGTCCTATGTGGATACAAGAGATGTAACTAGATCACTCTCCAGTTACAGTAACTCAGCGTTGTTGTACCGGATTCTGAATGTAGCAGCTTAGTAAGGATATTCTCGATGCCATCCATGGCCCCTGACTTTGTTTTATTAAATGATTATAATAATTTGCTTTGGATAATCAGTCTTTTAATCATTTTATTACTTTTTACTTATATTACTTATGACTTTTAGATTTTAGTTTGCAGAAATTTTGACTTTTAATAAATATTATCTTCTTTTCCTGTGGTCGCCCAGATAAACTATCTTTAAAAAAAATGTCTAACTGAACAAACTGTGAAATTAAATCTTTGAGGACAGAAAACCATTTTGTCACATTGTTGCAGAGCTTTCAGAGCATCTCAGTTGAATTGTTTATTTTGAGCCACACTAACACAGTTTATTTACTTTGCATTTGAACTTGTAGTACTTGTCCCCGTGCATCACCAGACTCACATCGATAATCTCTGTCAGAGTCCAAATTCTGCCCAGCTATTGGTTTTGATTTTGCCGAACAATGTGTGGATTTCTAAAGCTTCTTAACAGGACAACATTATGTTAGTGCAGCCAGTGACTTTTTCAAAAGCCAGTTTGTTTGTTTTTTTATTAAATGGCCTCAGAAATTTTTTAGTTTAAATTTACTCTGCCAACACACACATACTGCACCATTTTGGTTCAAATTCGAAATGGATAACCATTAATAGATGTACTCTGCTGGGCAAACATGATCTGGCACAGAAGGAAGCAAAACCAAATTTGGCCCTGTCCTCCCACCAAATCTCAAGCACACCAAATCAGGAAATCAAGAAAATGATGAAGAAAAATGTCGTTGAAATATACATACAGCCCTGAACTCAGTAAGCTTTATGACTGTGTGGCATAGAAACAATCAATCAATCAATCAATCAAGGCTTTAACACTGTTAACACAACACAGACATCACATGGGGATACATGTCGGAGATCGGTAGCGTTACAGAAAAAAAAACACTGAAATATACACTACAATGGGAAAGTACAAGAGGAATAAAAGAGACCTCTACTCATGCTGGGCTCCTGGGAGGACAGCATGAGAACAGGAAACAAAAAAACTCCTCTGCACAAAAAAGCACATAAATGTCCACAGCACAACATTATGGAGCACGTGACAAGCCACAGGGTCGGGTGGGGGGTGTGGAGTAATCCGAAGCAAACACAGCAGCCATCCTGCCCAGCGCTACCATTCCAGCGTGGGATTTGACCCGCCGTGTTCCCAGGAGGGAACAAGCATTGAAGGCGTTTGGAAAGGGAGGGGGGATGAGTGTGTGCATATCAGTGTATATGTATGTGTGTGCGTGTCCAGAGTTCAGCTGAGACAGTGTCCTTCGCCCTGCTAGGCTAAGTAAACAGTCATCCGGCCAACCCAGTGTTGCCAATGTGGATTTGTTCAGGCTCTTATATTGAGGATTTCATTAGGGACAGTGAAAACAGGTCCAGCTTACACATTCTGAGTGGAAGCTGAAGAAATGCCACTTTGACTCAGTTCACAGAAACAGTTCACTGCTAACTAGGCGAGGACTAGAGCAAATGAAAGTTTGTGTAATATGGCTATGTCCCAACAGTTCTTTGTTCATCTACTCAACATTAAACATGATAATAATTTGACTGTCGCCATCCATTAAAATAGGACCCTCTGGGAATCACCAAGACCTGGTATATTATGAGCTACTATTCATCAGTTAGAGGTTAGTCAGTCCAGAAATAAGCAGTCAAGGTGATCAGAAGTAAACAGACAGAACCATTTGTCCAGTTCAGAGTCACACAGGTAGCTATAGCCTGTGCTATGGGGCGAGAGGAACAGACAGACAATCATTCTCACAATTTAGAAGCACTGATAAACCCATGCATTTTTTTTTTCTTTTGGACTTTGTCAGGAAATGGCTGGAAACCGCTAGATTTGATCCCTGGACCTTGTGGATGTAAAGAAACAATGCTAATCACACCACAGTGTTGTTCCAGAACAAGCAGCTATTAATGATAAACCTTTTATGTGCAAAAACAAAAAAATCGTGGCCACAGCAATGGAAATAGGGCATTATTTCTACAATTAGCAGGAGTGGTAAGAAAGAAAGGAGCAGTAGAGCACAGACTGAACTGGTTAAAGCAACTTGGAGAGCACAAATTATTATTATTATTATTATTATTATTATTATTATTATTATTATTATTATTATTATTATTATTATTATTATTAT